TTAGCACCTTTTCTTTTTGGGGACTGTCAACAAAGCCTCAGCATAGCCTCTAAGAAGGAGTAGATCAGTGTAAGGAATAGATCATCTTTGACAATAAAAGATGGGCATGCAAATTAAAATAAATATCAGTACCAAGTCTCATCCATCAGACTGTCCAAATTACTAAAGTCTGAAGCTACTGGCATCATGGGGATGTGGAAAAATGGGGACTCAGGTACAACTGGTATAAGTGCACAATGACTGTGGGACCCCACCTCTTCTGTCTTACAGTAAGGGTGAGCTGGTGGTGTTACAATGTAGCCAATACGTGGTTGTGCCTCACTCCAACCAGCGCATCTGCTGGCCTCTAATCTCTCTCTTTCCATCCTTGGTGGGGCATGGGGTCTTACAAACCAGCCTCTCTACTGCCTTCACCAGTGTTCACCAGCCATGGCCTGATGCTTTGTGACCTGAGTTAGGGGAGATGCCAGTGTATTCACAGAGGTCTCCTCTCTTGCTCACGTTTGACGCTGCCCTTTACTTAGACTTTGTGTTCCTGATGCTTTCCGGCCTGTACCTGCCCACTAACACTGCTTATACTGCTTACAAAACAGCTGTGGAGTGCCATCACAGTCACTGTAGCTATGACAGCAGCTCTGGAGTGGGCTTTGGGTGGGCACTGGGGTGTTCTTCCTCTGTGCTTGGCAAAAGAGGCCATTTCCTTTCCCTTTCTGCAAGAAGAATGGTGCTAGTATACACCTTCTAATCTCTATTTGCTCCCCAGGCCAGGTAGACTAGAAAAGATGCAAGTTGCTTACCTTTCCCCACAGCATAGAATCCTCTTTGTGGACTCCCTCAGGCTTCTTGGTGGAGGGAGCTAATCTTCGATTGCGTGGAGGACCAGGTCTGTTGCTGCATGCTCAGCAAACAGGCTGCAGCTCCAGATTCTCAGTGCTAGACCAGCAGGTTTAGCACCTTTTCTTTTTGGGGACTGTCAACAAAGCCTCAGCATAGCCTCTAAGAAGGAGTAGATCAGTGTAAGGAATAGATCATCTTTGACAATAAAAGATGGGCATGCAAATTAAAATAAATATCAGTACCAAGTCTCATCCATCAGACTGTCCAAATTACTAAAGTCTGAAGCTACTGGCATCATGGGGATGTGGAAAAATGGGGACTCAGGTACAACTGGTATAAGTGCACATGGGGGCTTAGATGGTAAAAATCTGCCCATAATTCGAGAGACCCAGGTTTGATCTCTAGGTCGGTCGGGAAGATTCCTTGGAGAAGGGACTGGCTAACCACTCCAGTATTCTTCAGTGTTCTTGCCTGAAGAATTCCATGGACAGAGGAACCAGGTGGGCTACAGTCCTTAGGGTTGCAAAGAGTAGGACAAGACTGAGGGACTAACACTTTGGAGAGTGGTTTGACAGCATCAAGTAGAGGAAAATTTGTTCGTACTTCGCAACTTAGCAGTTCCCTCCTGGGCATATAGACCGGTGGTTGTTAACTGGTGGTGCCCCCCCACCCCCTGCCACCACCAGGGAACATTTGGCGACTCTGGAAATATTTTTGATTTGGACTCGGAAGGAGAAAGATGTTACTGGCATCTAGTGGATAGTGGCCAGGGATGCTGCTAAACATTCTACAGGCAGTCCACTCTGTCCCCCCACCCCTTCTCAACAAAAGATTATTCAGACACAAATGCTAGTAGCATACCGTTAAGGAATCCTGATGTAAACTCTCGAGAGACTCTTAAATGCAGTCTCAAAGAGACAGATAAAAGGAGGTTTACTGCATTATTTGTTTCTAACATTACAGTATTGAAAATAATCTAAATATCCCTCAAAAGGAGAATAGAGAAATAAATTTAAGTATTTCCATAACATGGTTAATGAATGAACTGGAATTTACAAGAATTAATATGGATAAATCTTGGACACAATGTTCACTGAAAGAAGCAGAGTAATACAGAAAATACCACTGTGTGAAGTTTAAAGACAGACAATTCTCTGCTTCACCTGTGGATGTCATACAGGTTAGTTAGTGTTGTCTTCACCAAATTCCACAGCAAGTACCTGGAGACCTTTGCATTCATTCTTTCATGAATGTAAAGGTGCATACTAAATGCACCAGCAATTAATATTATCTGTCTCAGGGTTTTGCGTAAAGAAAAAATTTGTTGAATGATTGAGCTGTGCTCCTAGAAAGACAAGACAATGATTTACATTCTTTTCTTACCTTCCCTCTGTGATCTGCCTTTCTGCCTGTCTTTCCATGGCTCAATTTAGAGAGGGTCCTGGAACTTGGATGATAAAATACTGAATCTTCATTTTTCATGCTACTAACTGAAGTTTAGCATTCCAGTTATGAAGGTACCAAGTTATAGCAATATTAGCAAGCTGAAGCTTTGTTACCAACTGAAATTAGGTGTATTTGCATATCACGTTACAGTTACTGAAGATACTTAGAAATGCTGTTTGTGCTCATCAGTGCTGTGAAATGACTGTAGTTAGACCTGTTGCTGGATCTTGTTATTTATTACATGAATAATCAAGCATCTGTGTGTGATCTAAAATATTTATATATTTTATATTTTGATAACTATTTTGATGTAATTAGCTTTCTTTGGAATCTGATGGATTTTATTTTATACCTTTAAAAACATTTTGAGAAGAGGTCCATAGGCTTTGGCAGACTGCCACAAAGGTCAAGACTCCCTGGTTACACCTACCTTCTGATAATTTGATTATTTGTTACATGTCCAATGTACTGATCTGGGCCAGATAGGAGAAAGTGGGAATAGATTGCTGCCTTTAAAGATTTCTGGAAAGGGTCTGATGGTGTGAAATGAGATGCTACCTACTAGTCTCTGGAAGACAGAAATGTGAGATTGAGCTGGGGCTTTGGAATGTTAGTAAAGTGTCTGTTACTTGTGTCTGAAATAGAATAAAGGCAGTAGATGGTTTTACCCCCTGCCTACAGCTCTAGGCTCATTGTTCCTTGTCATTGTGCCCCCAGTCATTTTTGTTGTCTTTCGGTGTCTAGGGGACTCCCTGCATTAGGAAGTCTGTGTTTTCTGTTAGCTGTGCTGGACTCTCCTCTCATCTCTTCATCTCCCTTCGTGTCTGAGTATCTGCCCCCATCCTCCAGTCTAGGCCAGGCCTCTAGATACTCCTCATGTAAACCCGTCCTCATCTTTACAGCCCTTTCTCATTTGTAGCTCTGTGGTCTTCAGATGCTTCTTTAGTTCAGTGCTTGTCACCGCACTGGATTGTAAATCCTCAGTGGCAGGGAAGGCTTGCTTTTGTTGCCTACAGTATCTCGGGTGCCTGACCAAGGGTTCGTGGTAAGTATTTATTGATGAAGAGTGAATTTTAATTGGAAAAATCATTAAAGGACTGGGAATACTAGCAGAGTGAATTTAGGTCCACAAAAATAAATTCAGATGGCCTCCCCCAACTTACGACACCCCCTCTGCCCTCAAGTCTCCTCCATACTCCAGTAGTTCTGCATACACCAGTAACTGTGAGGTGTTCGCGCTAGTGCAGTGGAGACAGGATAGGAAGACTGGCAGCTGGGGATGGCCTGGGCTCAGATCCTGGCCTTGATGCTTCCTTCCTGGGTGACTTCAGCCTCTTTGTGCCTGCCTTTCCACCTATAAAATATTGAAAATAGTAGTACCTCTGACATAGAATGCTAACACCTAACCCATAATAAGTGGTAGCTTAAAGGAAAAGAGTTGACTGAGCCTGATGGATAATCCAGTCCTGCTACCAACTTGAGAAGCACTGGATTTAGAAACCAGGGAAGTCTTGCATCATGGCTGAGCCTGGCTCTGGATTCTTCCCCCGCTATCTTGGTTGGGATATTCATGAGAACTGCTAAAAACCAAAACTGAGAGGCAAGGGATTCCTCCTTGCAGCTTGGCTGGACCCCCTTCTGTGTGTCTGTGTCTCCACCTCCTTCATGTGACATCTCCCAGAACTGGAGCACCAAGGCAGATGTGCCGACCTTGCTGTGCTTGAAGAGAGGTGTGTGGCTAAAGTTGTGACTCATCTTTTTGCATTCTCAAATTCCTGCTTAACTCTTGCTCCAGAGGATTATAATCAAATTAGCTCACTCTGGCTTCAGATGAAGTTGTATCATTTGTAACACACTTGGCACAGAATTTCACAGAATTCATTAGTGAATATATTCAGTAGATAGTATATTCAGCTCAGTAAGTATCAGTTGTGATTATTTCTCTATTAGAAAATGATGATTTGTCCTAAAAGCACAAGCCTAGCCCACACTCCTGACTTATATAACAGTTGCTAAGCACCATGTTTTTAAAGGCTTTCAAGTAATGTGCATTGAGAGGTTGAACGAAAGAGCAGATGGGTTGTGCCGTGCTGTGCTAAGTTCTTTGTGAATCATGTCCGATTCTTTGTGACCCTTTGGACTGTAGCCCGCCAGGCTCCTCTGTCCATGGGATTCTCCAGGCATGAATACTGGAGTGGGTTGCCATGATCTTCCTGACTCTTGAATGGAACCACGCTACTGACTGCTTAGTTTACTCTTTCAGGCACAACTGGGCTTTGCAGTACTTGACTGCCCTCAGTTCTACATAGTTGCCACTAGAGGGCAGGGGCATTTAAGACAATACCCTAGACCCACCAGTGCCAGAATTACTGGGTAGACAAGGGAGAATGGTTGAAGGAGAAAAATGTTAGAATGACTGGGGGTGGAAAGCAAAACAGTTTTTGTTTATCTCTTGGAGACCAAACGGAAGAAAATGTGAAGCTAGTGGAATTGAAGTTAGATTTAAAGAAGAACTTGCAGAGCACAAAGTTTGCTGCAGAGATTTTATACAGGTGACCTACAAAAACAAAAACAAAAACAAAAAACCTTAGCTACATCTGCCCAAGCAGAATAGATGAGAATGTGGGCTCCTCCAGTCTGAGGCCTATGTGATGCCGGTAGGTCCCCTTAAAGTAACCTTTCTCTGTGTTTGCCTTAAATGACTCCATTCTTGCACGTGCAGTAGTAAAATAACTTTATTGGTTGGGTTAGCCACCACTCATGCTTTTCCTGTAATAAGGATCCTTTATAGAGGCATGATGGTGTCCACATGCAGATGCTTTCTGAAGAGCCCTGGGGCAAGGGGCAGCCTTGCCCCTCACATCAGAGCTTCTTTGTTGAAATGAGCTGGTTTGGCTTTTGTGGATTTGAGGTTCTGGAGCCAAGAACATAGTTCAAGGATCCCCTCTTCTTTCTTCAGGGAGCTGCTTCAAAGCATACACGGTATCAGGGAAGCAACGGCATCTGTGCAGGGAGCTCTCCTCAAGCGGTCTCTGCCCATGGCTGCCCTGATGGCCCCATCCCAGTGGTACCCCACAAAGCAGGGTTTAGGTCCCCAGGCAGCACTACTTTCAGAAATGGGAAAGATTAATTGCTCTCCAGCCAAGCTGTAAAGCGCCAGCCAGCTTCAGTAATGAGGGTGGCAAGTCCAGGGCTGGTTGGAGTCTATCTCTTCAATCAGGTTATCGACCTTTCTGCTTGCATAAGAGGACAAATTACCTCTCTCATACTTTGAGAACCTCTGCCTTTGAAGATAAAAACTCAAGTAGGGAGCAGCTGGGAATGCAGAGAGTGCTGGGCAAGAACGACACTACTGGGGCTGCGTCCTCAGTTCAGCCAGTTCAAGGTGTATTTGCCTCCATTATGGATGCTGATAATAAGCAGCATCAGGTCACTTTCCTTTTTTGAAGTCTGACCCACCTTCAAAGAACTGCCCAGTTGCTAAAATATAGCCCCACACATTTAGCTAAGTCTGAGGTTGGCTGTCTCCTCCCATATCAAGCCAGGAATATTGTCATCACACTGGTGACCTCTGGTGATTCTTGGCGTCCTTCCAATCTCAGCCACCAATGTGCATTCTCTGAGCAGTCACTGGGCAGTTGTGCATACGCCTTGGCTTCTCCTGCCTCTACCTAAGATGTCTGTGGGTCATGGTTGAGTGGATGAGGTGGACTGAGGAGGCAGCAGTTGGGCAAGAGGTATATCTGAGAAGCAGCAAGTGGGAGCCCAGAGTATCGGCACGACCAGCCCAGCACACGGGGGAGCAGTCAGGTGCTGCCCTCAGAGTCAGATATTACTTCAAAAGCACAGGTATTCATTCTATTGCTCGGGTAATGGTTCAGGACACCGGATCACTGTGAAGACCTTGAGGGTAATGAGATTTCGGGGACTGGGACTTCAGGGTTCACACCTTCTGCCAACCACTTCTGTCTTGGAAACGGGCATTTTGTGTCCCTCAGCAGAAGGCTGCCTGTCCCCTGACTCCACCTAAAACTGCCTACAGGGAAGAGGACTAGAGAGAGAGCCCATGGACCTCTGTCACACGGTCTGTCCCAGACCTTCCAGCAAAAGCCAAACCAAACCATCAAGCCAAATGCAAAGAGGCGTGGGGGCACAGCCCTGTGCCCGGTGGCGCTCAGATCTCGATGAGGCTGGCCAGGCGCAGGCAGAGGGGCGCGTCAGCGGGCATGGCGCTGCGCTTGATCTCGTTGCCGTCCAGGCGCAGCACCTGCAGCTTGGAGAAGTTCATGACATCCACCACGGTGCAGAAGCTGCTGATGGAGAACTCTGTGGGGACAAGAGGGGCAGGGATGGGGAGAAGCCCAGATCAGGGGCCTGGGACCTCAGGAAAGCCCCACGGAGTCTGTGAAGCTTCTAAAGGGAGGGGGGAGCTTGGCTGGGTGGGGCAGGCGCTTCCCAGGATCGGAGTCAAACTTGCACCCGTTGGGGAGCAGAGCCAGGGATAGAGTGAGGTCTCTGCCTGCATAGCTCCACCTCCTACCCACGCCCCCCACCCCCCAAAACCCTGGAAGGTCCTTCTTGGCAGGCCTTCCTTGGTCTTTTCCCCTCTGTGGGCAGCAGGTGGCAGCAGAAGGCAGTCAAAGATGAACCCTAGCAGCTTTGAAGTTCTCCCTTGATGGCGTTTGAAGAGGAGGGCATTTCCCAATTGTGTTGAGAAGGAAGACTGGGTAGGTGGAAGTACTTAAATCTTGACTATTTCCTAACTAGAAATAGAAATAGAAAATGCCAGTTTGCAGGTAGAGAAAGTGGAAAGAAATTAAAGAGAGAAAACTTGGACTGAGAAACAAGTGCCTCTGAGTTCAGAGCTTTGAGGGGATTGTTCCATGTACATTCTGAGTTCAGACAAAGGAGTGGTCTAGGCCCTGAGGTTTAAGGAGATAGATGAACAGAGCTGCCATGGAGCTCAGAAGTCAAATGATTTCCTTGCCTCCTGCATTTGATATGATTAGTTTACTCTCCATTTTTGTAATCTCAAAAGAAGTTTGAAGATTCTCCCCTACCCTCTAAGTCCTGTAATCCTAATAGATACAATCGTTCTGTTTGGTTTAAACACAAGTCCTTCAGCTTCCACTCACCCGGTTCTCCCTCTGCTTGTTCTCTTAGACAAATCAACTACCTCTGTCTCTATCCTACTGGGTCAGAAACTTGAAGGATTAAAACAAGAGCTCAGCTAGAACTCCAGCCTGTGTGCATGCTAAGTTGCATCAGTCACGTCTGACTCTTTGCAACTCCATGGTCTGTAGCCCACCAGGCTCCTCTGTCTGTGGGATTCTCCAGGAATGGGTTGCCATGCCCTCCTCCAGGGGATCTTCCCAACCCAGGGATTGAACCCACATCTTTTATGTCTCCTGCATTAGCAGGCAGATTCTTTACCACTAAAGAAATTAAAGAGAGAAAACTTGGACTGAGAAACAAGTGCCTCTGAGTGCAGAGCTTTGAGGGGATTGTTCCATGTACATTCTGAGTTCAGACAAAGGAGTGAAGCCCTTTGGGGCTTCAGACAAAGAAGCCCCAAAACTCCAGCAGGGACAGCGAAAGTTACCACCAAAAAGCTGCAGCCGCCCATAGAGGCTGCCTTCAACATGGTATGTGAGAGCATCAGAAAGATGGCTGGAGTCAAAAGGGACTTTGGGTGAGGTTATTTGCTGGGACTTGGTAGGCTACATCTGGAGGGCTGTAACACTTAGGCAGACTCAGAGCTTGGCTTGCTTTTGCTTCCACCAGAGGCATTCCTCTGCTCGCCACAGTGGTCAGGAGCTATGTGTCAGCCTGGAGCTGGGCAGGAGGAATGGGAGGAAGGCTTTCCTGATTCTCTTCCTGGGGTGACTGTCAAAGGCATTGTGGTTATAAGTATGAAAAGTAAGCTCTCTATAGAGAGCTTAGATAGATGAAGAAATTGTTTTTGAAATTAGCACTAGCGATTATTTTCAGTCTCTGTTAAGAACTGACCAAGAGGACATGGGGTAAGTCTGCAGCCAATTAACATGTGCTACAAATGTAAGACAGAAAAACCAAAGAATAATGAGAAGAATGGGAAATATCCTTGTTTAGAGAGCACTCGGGGAGGGTCGGGTGGAGACCCGGAATGCTTTTGGATGTTCCCTTTCTGGACCCAGGGAATGGATCGAGTGACGTCCAAGTGGACAGGTTGGGGGTGAGTCGAGGCTGAGTCAAGTCTGGGTCTATGGTGTCTGCATGGAACAGGCAGAGTGGGTTGGGCTGGAGAGAAAAACGAAGTGGCCTGGATTGAATATCACTTCCAGCTGTATTGGGGGACTGCACTTAGAGGTTCCACAATGGATTCTCTACACCAGCCTGGGGCTTTCAGACTGTCTGCTGAAGTCCTGGCTCCCAACTTTGCAAGTATAAATATGGGACATATTTAGGAGTTGCTCAACACTCAGCATATATAGATTTTATCCACACGTTGAGCACTGTGAGCCCCCGTGTTAGTCCTCTCTAAGTTCATGAATAGGACAGGGGCTTCTGCTTGGAGATGCTGGAGGACACTTTCCATCCCAGATTAAATTTTGACATAAGTTTTTCCAAATTCCTTCTGGCATACTGGCCCTCCTCCACTGGATCCCAGAGCTACTGAATAACATTCTGAGCTGTGTTTCCTGCTGTTGCCAGGCTGGAAAAACTGAGGGAGATGCTAGTGGAAGAAAGAAGCAGGGAGGGAGAGAGCCAGGCTTAATTCTCCTGCACTCAGCTCCTGTCCTTTTAGCTCTCTTCTCAAAGGGTTGCTTCAATCCTACCTTCATTTACCCACCCCTTCTCTGGGTCCCCTGCAGGGAGACCTCCTTCACATTTGCCTCGGTGAGTGGCTGAGCTTGGGGAACTCACTTTCCTGCTGGTGGTCTGAATCAGAGATGTACTCCTTCCTTTCTCAGCCAGAGAAGCCTGGCTCTCAGTCCTTTGATGTTAAAGGCAGAGGCTATACTACATGATCTGGGTGACCTGAAGGGATTGCTTTTCCTTCCCTGTGTCTCAGTTTCCCTATCTATGCAATGCAAAAGATGAAATAAAACTGTGTCTGGCAACGTCAAAGTGGCAAAGAGGGGGAAAGTTTATAATATAGTTACTGTGTGTTGAAAAGCAAGTGCTTTTGCAGTTGTGTGCCAGGTCCTGAACCAAAGCCTTTGGTGTACTAATGCACTAATTAAGAAAAATGAGGTGTTGGTGTAAATAACCCCCAAAACGAGGACTAAGAGGGAGACAACCAGACAGAGGAGCTTTGGCTTAAACTGCACAAGAAGGGATTTGGGGCAGATACTGAACATTTTTAGGTTTGACTTAGGAAAAACTTTCTTGCAAGACCTCAGGACTCTTGACTAATGTGATTTTATCTTTGGCAGAGCTTTTGGAAGAAGTGAACTACCTTATATTTAAACGACATATGTGGTTCTGCAAGAAGGCAGAGTGACAAGATGCTGTGATGGAGTCTTTCCCACCCCAAGTTTCACTGGTTGTATAGTTAGGCAGTAACTATTGGCTTCTCTCCCGTGACAGATGCTCTTTGCTGTCACATTTTCAAGGTCAAACTCTGATAAAGCACAGTATACTATATGACATTTCTGTTGCGACACTCCTCTTGGATTCAGAGTGGGTAGCAGGTAAGTAGTGGTGACTTCTGGGTGAGATGATAGACAGCTACAAGTAAATGTCAAAGCTTTTGCATCATACAACATATGAGAGATTAGAGAACCCTGCGTTGGGAATAGGAAGACCTTCCCCAAAGAAAGAGAGACTTTAAATACAGAACAGTTTGCTGTGTGTGTGATGGTGTCTTGCACTTCAAAGTAGAGAACCAGACACCTTTTCAGCTTGCCCACCCCATGGTCCACCTCTGGGACTGGTGCGTCTCTCACTCGGGGGGCTGTCTGGCTTGTTAACATCTTGCCAAATGAGTGATCTGTTCTGTGAGCACAGGGAGAGAGAGATCCATGGAGAGGCTGTGGCCTCAGTCCTATCTCTGCTTTGATGCTGCAACGGTGCTGTTTGCTCTCAGCAGGCTCTACTTCAAAGCCCTCTGTCAATGGCCATTAATGAGTCCTTCCTCCCCCAGGGAGAGAGGTACTTTGCTGCAGAGGAGGAGAAGTTAATGCTGGCTCAGCACCTTCCAACTGGGCTGAGACATCAGAGGCTCTGGCGCAGTGTAAGCACATTGTGAACACAAGGCCCAGAGAGGGACTGAAAGGCACCTGGAGACTTTGGTTCTCGCAGACAGCCCGGCCGGCCCTTGGGCCTTCTGGGGAGTGTTTGGGAAATAGGAAGCCTTGTGCTTGCTTGCCACTGCAGGGTTTGGTAGGGGTCAAGCTCGTGTCACCCAGGGAGCCCTCTGCCCCACCGCCAGGGCCTCCTCATGCTCCTGGAGAGCCAGCCAGAGCACGTGCTGCATGTAGCTTGGCGGGGCTGCAAACTCCCGTCCACCGGCTGCGTGTTTAAAACACAAGCATCCAAGCATAAGACCAGGCTGATGAGGGGTGGGGACAGAGAGCTTGTCCTCCTTGGAGTCAGTGAGAAAGTACAGATACAGTGGTTTCTTAGCAGCCCACTTTCCTCCTCATCTTAAATGCCCTTGTCTATGAACCACCCCCTGCCAAACCTCTCCAAACTCATTTCTCATAGCTTGACACATGAACCCTTCCTGTTTGACACAGGAATCTCCTAGCTGTCCCCTCAAAGTGACCTGGTAAATGACTGGTCCTTTTGTGGCGATGGCACCTCTAAGGATGGCTCAGTTCTGTGTTCCTCCAGCCCATACCCATTTATCTTTAGGGACCTAAATTTAGGCTTACCTCTTCTGAGAATTCTTCTTCCATACCAACCCACTGCCCAGTGACTTTTCCTAGCACTGCCATGTAGTCTAAGAATATGCCACTCTGTACCATTTTGTATGGGGATGTGGCAGGGTTCTCAACTTGCTTCATCAATATTCTTTGGTTCTCCTACTTCTAATTCTTCTGTGTTGCCCCCAGCACTTGGGATCAGATCTTTCCAATGCAACAGACAGCACTCCCCACTCCCCTTTGCCAGCGTCTCACCATTGATCCTATTGCCTTGGAGGTAGAGGTTCTCCAGGTTGGTACTGACTGGGGGGATCTTCTGTAGCTGATTGTAGGAGAGGTCAAGCTCAAGGAGGCTGCTGGAATTGAAGGTGTTCGAGGCCAGGCCATTGTTGGTGAGGCTGTTGTGGGACAGCCGCACGTACAGCAGCTTGGGTGAGCCCCGGAAGTAGCTGTCGGGGACTGAGAAGACGTTGTTGTGCTCTAGGTACAGCTGCTCAAGGGCTGAGGGCAGTCCATCAGGCACCTTCCTCAGATGGTTGTAGCTCAGGTCCAGCAAAATCAGCGATCGGAGTCCTCTCATCGAACTGCCCACTTCCTGGATCTCGTTGTGATGAAGGTACAAGGCTGTGAGGTTCTCCAGCCCCTCCAGCGCATTGTTGGGGACCCTTGAGATCTGGTTGTGGTCAAGATGGAGCTCTCGCAGGGATCGGGGCAGTGGGCTGGGTATCCGGGTCAGGTTGTTGTGGTCCAGATACAGCCTCTCCAGGTGTCTCAGCTTGGAGAAAACCTTCTTGCCCACCTTATCACTGGTGATCTGGTTGCCATGGAGAGCAATCCAGAGCAGCCCAGTGGCATTGTCGAAGACACCCTCCTGGATGGAAGAGATCTGGTTGTTCTGGAAGTAGACATACTTCATGCGGGAGGGGACAAAGGGCAGGTACTTGAGATTGCGGTTGTCACAGTACATGGCTGTGGGGAAGTTGGGGGGACAGTCGCACTCCTGGGGGCAGTCTCGGGGCTCTGGTGGGGGTGGAGAGCCGTAGGCATAAGCTGGACCTTCCTCTCCCCCGTAGGGGTAAGGCTCATAAGGCTCATAGGGGTAAGGGTCGTAGGGATCGTCATAGGTGGATTGCTGGTTGCGGAGGAATTGAAACCACCAGTGAGAGTCTTCCTCATACTGGGCCCAGGAGAGGGAGCAGAGCCCTGCCAGCAGCAGGATGGAAGCCCACTGCATTCTGTGTTTCTGCAAGAAGGGAGAGAAAACAGAGGAATCAGGCATGAAGGAGACTCCGGGGAGTCAGAGAGGCAGAAGAGGTGAGTCTTGGGCTTTGAGCTCTGCAGACCTGACCTTCAGCAGAAAGCAGCTCTGAGCAGAGTCCTTGCTGCCACCTCCTCTGGGCCTCTCCCAGCGCTGCCTCTACAAGCTGGTCCAGATGAGCCTTGGCTCCCTGGGGGAGCTAGGTGCATTTCCCTCTGCTCACAGACTCACAGAAACATAGCCTTTGAGATCAGAAGGGGCTTGAATGGAGGTATTGCATTTTTTATTTTTTTTCAGAGAGCAGGCCCATAGGAGCCTCTAGCAACCTGAAGGTACTGTTAGGGAAGCTAGAAAGCCCACAGCAACTTCCATGGGAGTGGGAGTGGTGGTGGGTTCTATTTATGCCTGACTTTACAGCCAGCGTGAACTCCCCAGGGAATAATGTTTGCCAAGAGTCCAAGGAAAAAACCCTCTGGCTCTTTCTATATCTCTGGGAAACACCCAGAAGTGGCTTGAGGTCTCAAAGGGGAAGATCTGAACTACTTGGGAAGTTCTGGTTTTGAGTCTTTGGGGAAGGGTGTGGTCCCCTGCAGTCATCACAAGGCTTGGGCTTGTGGTACCAGCACCTGTAACAGTGCCAGAACCTGTAACGGTCTACTAGTGAGGAAACTCTCTGGTTGGCAGTTTGTGGCTACACTTGCAACTTGGCTGGCAAGGGCCATTATACAGCAGTTACAGATTCCCTTCAGAGGGGCTGTGGCCCCCAGTGTGGACCTTGTGTTCTAGAGGGGGTACTGAGAGCATGAAGTCTTAGCGCCCTGGGCTGTCTTCCATGGTGTCTAGTAAAGCGTTAATACTTCTCATGCTCCACCATGGACATTATGCCAAAGCCAGCAGGGGCCGAAGGGAACATCAAACAATGAAACAGGAGTTGAAGACTCCTGAGTGTACCCAGGGGAACATGCCTTTAGAATGGGATTCGGTGTCCTGCTCTCCCATCCGAAGCCCTCGGTGATGACCTCTGGGTTACCAGTCTCCGTAGCTGGGCCCCACATTGCCTGGCAGCTCACAGCTTTTGACCTTGTGTGCTAGTGAGATGAGAGCAGGCGAGGCTTGGAGAGAAGTGTGAGTCTGATGTCCCCGAGAGGGAAGTTGAAGGCGTGGAAGAGGAGGGCGGCCTGTCCGGCTGGATGTCATACTCTGGATATCCACAGCCAGAGCACCGCACAGCCCCAGTGAGCAATTGGCACCTTCCAGAGGGGTGAATGTCACACTTGGGTAGAGAAACTTTACAACCTTTCTTGATCTGGGCATAGTCACATATGCTGTTCACGTTGCCATTGGCCCTTGCTGGGGACAAGAGAAAGCAAGGGCTCTAAAAGCCAGAGTCGAAGCCATGAGCTGATGAGAAGGCCCCTGGGGGTGACAGTCAGTCTGGTTCCTTTCTGGCCACCATCTCCCTCAAATCTCTCTGTCCTCTGCGAGCGAGTCCCTCAGGCCTGCTTCATCCCAGTAGCCCGCGGGCTCCAGAAGCGAGGTGCCTCACTCATCTTCAGCAGCCTCAGACAAAGAGCCCACAGTGATCCTGGGGAGCCTCCCCAGCCACCCACGGCCTGGGCACGCTGGCTGGGCCCTGGCACTGCCCAGGAGAACGCGGATAGAGTGGCTCACTGCCAGTAGCACATTTTTCCATGCTCAGCTCTGGACTGCTGCAGGACCAGGGTGGCTGTCTGGAGGTTGGCACAGTGAGCCTCTGTCTCCATTTCTCCTTCCAAACTAGGCACCTTGGCAGGCAAGAGCAGCCCTCCTCTTCAAGCCTTCCAGGGCTGTGCATGCTGCCCACTTGACTCTCTTTGGTGTCATGACTGCTGAAAGGGGTTGTTGGGGACTTTATGCCTCTCTGTACCCCTCCCCCATCTCTTAGCAATGTTGCTCCAGGCTTTATACTCCTAAATCCTCTCCACCCCACCCCCAATGCTAGAGACATTCCTGTGCTCAAAGTTTTGTGAGGTGGAAAGCTTCTAGGATTGGTACTTTCTGAGTTGGGGGGAGCGTACTCAGAAGTTACTGCTGTTCTTTCATTTCTCCATTCTAGAGACCCATGTCTTCTTCCTATCAGAGCCCAGGAGGTCAAACCAAAAGCTGCTTTGTAACCTGAATTAGGTCCCCATTTCACAGTTCCTTGGACCTGGTCAACTCTCAACACTGCTGTGTGTTTTTTCCCTTTCACCCCAGCAACACACAAGCACACACACACACAAACACATGCACTACACAAAATTTCCTCTCCTCTCATGTAAAAGCATTTAGGTGCCTGAGCCCCTCTGAAGAGACTGCAGGGCACAGGTCTAGGATGGTGGACCTTCTGAGTAGTAGTGGGGCAGAGCTGGCTTCCCCACATACCTGACCCTTCACTTTTTCATGCCTGAAAGCTGAAGGCTCCCCAACAGTCAGAAAGGATTGTCTTACAGTGGACAAAGGTGGTGTGTGGGAACCCCCTCCTTCTACCCCCTTTTGCTGCTCTAGCATCCTGGGACACGGTCCAGATGGGGAAGGAGGAATCGCTCCTCTGCCCTGGGCCCTGTCCCCTCTCCCCAGCCTCTTTCCTTTGCTCCTTTAATGGAACTACCAGGGACAAAATCTGAAGGAAAATGACCGACTTACCTTGAAGTTGAATCTTTGAGAGAGTGACCACGTCCCTCTGTCTGGCCTCCTTGGTTGGAGAGCGTGTGAGCAGGAAAGGAGTGAGTGTGTCTACTGAGAGTGTGCGCGCCTGTGCCAGGCCAGGGCCCGCCCCCAAATTCCTAATCAGACGTCGTGAAGAGAGAGGTTGAGGAGCCCAGATCCTGGCTTTTTCAGTGCTGCTGCAGAGGCGGAGCTCACACTCAACCGCTCAAAACTGCTATAAAAACCACCTTCTTTCCACTCACTTATCTTCCCTGAAGCACTGGCAGCTTGGGGTCTCTTTCTGCTGAATGAGTTAGTGGCGCTCTGGAGGTTATTTGTACAGTCTCTTACAAAGGCCTGGATTTCTCATTAAACCCATAGGGCAGATGCAGGGATAGGGAGGGCCAGGATTTGCCAAGAGGCATCTTAACTCTTTCAGCAACCCAGAGTCCCACTGGAGAGCGAGTGCTCACCTTTCTGGGCTCCAGCGCCCTCTGTGGGCAAGTGGTTAGGCTAGTGGACAAGGGAGAGGACACAGGCTAGCTGGCTCTGGCTCCAGTTCCATCCCTGACCAGTGTAGACATGTCTGGGCTGTAGGATTTCTCTCTCCCCACTGGAATAAAAGGGAAGAAAGGGACTCTCATATTTGTTAGTCACTTACTGTGCACTAGGGCTTCCTTCATATCTCAATTGGTAAAGAATCCGCCTGCAATGCAGGAGACCCCGGTTTGATCCCTGGGATGGGAAGATCCCCCGGAGAAGGGAAAGGCTACCCACTCCAGTATTCTGCCCTGGAGAATTCCATGAACTGTATAGTCCATGGGGTTGCAAAGAGTCAGATACGACTGAGTGACTTTCACTTTACTGGGCACTAACATCATGCACACCCACCTAATCTCATGATGACCCTCAGGTTAACAATACTGCCTTGTTGAGTTGTAGTAAGGTCTCTCTGAGGTAGTTTGTGTGAGGTCCCTGGCCCAGCACACAGCTGATGCTCACTCAGTCTGTGGTAGAGATGATTGCTCATATACCCATTTTACAGATGCCGAGACTCTGAGCAAGGGGAGGATAAGGTCATAGAAGCAGGCAGGAACTAGACCATGAAAGGACTTTTAGACCATGGAATGGATTTAACTTTTATTCTGAATGTATTTAAAAAACTTGTTTTAAGGAGAGAAAGGGAAAAGATCTGACCTACATTTTAAAAAGTCCATGGGAGAGACTGCTGTGCGGTAAAAAGGAGAAAAGTGTGGAAGCAGGAGCTCTAGCTCTCCTCTGTTGAGAGATAATGGCAGATTGGGCCAGTGCAGTGAAAGGGAACAATGTATGTTTAGACAAGGAGTTGAAAACTCTTGAAGATGGACCAGAGAAGGGGTTAGGGAAAGTGAAGAATGAGTCCTCGATTTTGAATTTGAGCAACTGGGTGGGTGGTAGCACCATTTCCTGACCTTAGAAAGACGGGGAGGGACAGAGCCTAAGTTAGAGATGCCTGTTAGGCATTCCAGTGCAGATGCATGCAGGCAGTTAGATATATCAGGATAAACTGGAAGGTCAGGTACTAGAAGAATCTGGATTACCCAGAATCTCAGTAGCTTAGATGAACCCATGCATCTGAAATGCTCTTTCTTAAACTAATTGCCTCCTGCTAACACCCAAGAAACACCCCTTTAAATTCTTTCTAAAACTGTGGTAAATTACACATAACATAAAATTTACTATCTTAACAATTTTCACAGTTCAGAAGGTTTAAGTATTGCTATACAACCAGTCTTCAGAACTTGTTCATCTTTCAAAACTTTAAATTTGTATTCACTAAACAAAAATGCCCCATTTCACCCTCCCCCAGCCCCTGGCAACCACCAGAGCAGAAAGAACTGCATTCTCTCCCTGTGAACTTGACTGCTCTACGTGACTAATACAAATGGCATCATACAGTATTTATCTTTTCGAGACTGGCTTACTTACTCAGCATAATGTCCTCAGAGTTCATCCATGTTGTAGCGGGTGTCAGAATTTCCTTCCTTTTAAAGACTGAATAATACTCTATCGTATGTATATACTATATTTTGCTTATCCATTTATCTTTCAATGTACATTTGAGTTGCTTACATTAGCTGTTGCAAATAATGCTGTTATGAACATTGGTGTACAAATATCTCTTTGAGAGCCTACTTCTAATTACTTTTTGCTTGTATGTTCAGAAATGGAGTTGTTGGATCATATGGTAATCTGTATCTTTTTTAAGGAACTTCCATATTGTTTTTCAAAATGTAGTCATATCATTTTACATTTCCATCAACAATAAACAAGGGTTTGAATTTGAAACAATCACTCCTGTTTTTTTTTAAAAAATACCAATTGAGAAAGCCTCAAATTTGAATTTGAAGAATTTAAAATTTGAATTTTAAACAATGGAACTTTCAGTTGCTCCAGTAGGTTTTGAACTGTTGACATAATATGAAAAGTCCTTGTTAGGGACCCAATCTCCTCAGAAATTTCAAAATTTAAAAAAAAATTAAATATAATAATGGGCCTTTGCTGACTACCTGCTATAAACTAGATGGTTTACGGATGTTATCTCATTAGTAATCACAGCAGATACTTTGTGTTGAAAATAGAGGATTGCAGGTATATAGCGATTAAATTGTAAAACAGGGATTCGAACCTTGACCTACATGACTCCAAAGACCTAACACTTTCTCACAACACAAGGCGAGAAGACCAGTGGAGCGGGTGGTGACCACCTTATTGTCAGGGTTGAACTCAATTAATATGGAATCCAACTAATTACAGTGCTCCAATCTGCTTGAACCTGTGGCAGGGATTGTAAGGATGAGAGGGGTCTGGGATACTGGGTTTCATTTCCTGACTCCAGACATATTTCATTTCAATTTAATACATGTGAGCATCTACTCTATGTCTGGCATGCACTTAAGAGCTGGAAACACAAAGAAGGTTTGATAGACTACCTGCTGAAAATAAATCAGGTATATAAGCAGCAAGGGATTCCGAGGTGGCTCAGTGGTGAAGAATCTGCCTGCCAGTGCAGGAGCTGCAAAAGAGTTTGATCCCTGGGTTGGGAAGCTACCGTGGAGAAGAAAATGGCAACCTACTCCAATATTCTTGCTGGGAAAATCCCATGGATGGCCTGGCAGGCTACAGTCTGTGGGGTGGCGAAGAGTTGGACACGACTGAGCAACTGAGCACACATAAGGAGCAAAATCTGGTTTCATGAGTGAGGCAGAATGGCCTTAATGTGAAGATGGTTATAAATAATGCACAGTAACTGTCTCATCATTTTTGAATCCAGAAATCAATCACTTTACAATGGAAAACACTAGTTTTGGCAACAGGACATAAGAGACACTTCGTAGCTAGATCTAGATAGCCTGGACAAATCTACCCCTTAGGTACAGATGTTAACTTTTTTAAATTCTAGCATACTTAAATGTGGCAGTGTTGCACTGAATTAATTCTCACAACCACACAGGATTATGAGAGACAGCACAGGGAGAGCTCGCGAAAGAGAACTCCCCGAGAAAACACTGAGTGCATATTCGTTGAGGACGTATCTGGAATTCAGTAACAGGGCTCAGCAAGGCAATAGCAAGGCTTTGAAGATAAGGAAGTTCGTTCTGCATGCAGAACAACATCTGCTGAGACCGACACATCAGCCACGGTATCTGTCTTAAGAGCATGAGAAAGAGTATGTAATGAAAGGGTAAGACAGGACAGTCTCCAGAAAACAGGGCCTTGAGAAAGGAACGACTTTTATATTCCCACACTTAATAATACTTGACAATGGAAGTCAGTAGAGTCTAGGGGCCAAACATTGATTGGGATTCTTTCCAACTAAGATCTACCAGAAAACACAGTATCCCCAGGTGGGATTTGCACTAAGTCTTTAGTCATCTGTTCTGTTGCAAGGTAGGCTGGGGAGAAAGGAAAGAGGGAGGGGACAAGCAGGATCAGGTCGAGAGGAGAGTTTCAGCAAACCATTCACTGTTCACAGATTCCTTTGTCAGTGAATTCTAGCCTCCATTTTGACTACTGCCTCTCAGTCTGCCTGGTTCTGGGTCTAGGCCCTCAGAACTTGGTTTCAATATGGGACACCAAGTAAGGGATCCTGATGTCTGCAGATTGCCAAAGGAATCAGCACATAAAGGAAGTTCATTTGGGACACTAGTGCTTTCTGAGAGGTGTCAAGCCAGCAGCACTACCCAGTTACTAGATGGCAAACAAGCTAAAGAGAGAGACTATTACTTGCTTCCGTAACCCCTATCCCCAACTGGGCATATAATGCTTGGTATTTAGTAGGTGGGTTATAAAATGAACTGTATTTTTGGCTCTCTACGGAGTTTGCCTATCCTCAGAACCCAATGTTTGGTGGAATAACCACCAACCAGGCCAGGAAAACCCTTAGGCCTTCAGGTCAGTTATATTTTCCAGGGTCTCATGTCATTGCTATTTCCTCCCCACCCAGAAAAAGTGCAGGTTAAGCCACAACCACTGGGCGAAACTAATTGCCTTTGATGTTTGGACCCACTCTGTCTGGAAGGGCTGAAGTGCCTTCTGATTGAAATTCCTCTCAGCAAGAGAGATATGTGCCTGTGACTGCCAAACCCTTCCTCTTCAACCTTCATAAGACCCAAAGTCATTGTTTTTATAACACCACTTCTGATCCCAAACAACCAAGGAATGAAGGGTAAGACTAGAAATCCACCCAAACAAAATTATTGAGTTGGATATAAAGAGGTCAGTAGAAAGATGATCATGGTCCTGCATTACCAGCCAGGTCCTGCTGCTTGCCCATTCTGAAAACTCTTGATGCCAGAGAGGGATTGTTTACTAGTCTGAGGTTTTGATGGAAAGTCCTTGTTATATGGGTACCCAAAAATGGTGTCCCAGAGTTTCCAAGGGAGATGTTTTCCCTTATTCCCTTGGCACTGAGTGGTTGTTGTAGGTTCTCACCATGGATAGTCTCCTCTTTCCCAAAGAGTAGACAAAGATGTTGGAGCTGGCTGGGGAGGCTTGTTTTCTTTCAAATGCAAGAAGAAACAGATCTCAAGTTCCAAGTTCTGGGAAATGCACTGAGGGCTTCGGAATTTCCTTCTAATAAGTTCTTTAAAAATAAGACAGAAAACAACCTTTATTATTTAATGGATAGCATCTCTTGTTTTTACTATGTATTTATTGCACATTTGTCTTTATTCACATGGTGATGACATACATGATGGATTCCAGAAAATCACCTTCTGGAAAGTATGAGTATATTTGAGTCAGGAAAGGGAGGATGGTTCAGGGAG